CTCCGCCCGGGAGGGAGGGAAGCGGCTCTCCGAAAAGTTGCACCTTGACAGGACGTAAAGCAGCTATTCAGCGTAGGCGCTGGAAGTAGCGGGCGCTGGAGGCATCGGGGTGGGCTGCTAAATTGCGCCCTGTTGAGCCCCTTTTTATAGGGGCTTACAGTCGATGAAGTTGTACATGTAGCTGTGCTCGATTAGTTGCAGATCCATTACTCAGTGCTTTCTAAGTTTTCTTAATAAAATACACGAATAACTCCACCTTCAGCATCAGAATTATATTTATCTAGCCCCTGTATGTCATTCTGTCACTAGATCTTAAACACTACATGCAAGAGGTAAGTGTTATCCTCATCTCATAGGTGAGGAAGGAGTCACAGGACTACAGAAAGTATAATTGCACTAAAAATCTTCTACAGACATGATGCGGAAAGAATGTGCAATTTCCTTAAGAGCTTAGTGCATTTATGAGTGGTATTTACTTAGTTCTACTTTTTGTTATTAATCCTGAGGTTTTTTTAAACGGCCAGCTCAAAGCTGTGAAGTGGCTTCCTGCAAACCTGTCCCAGCCTTATGCTTTTGGCTTTTACATTGAAGTACCTTAATTCTTGGGATTAGTAGGTGCTTACTGTACTACAAACCATACAGAAAGGTACTTTTGAAAGCTCTTCCTAGGTAAGCCGTTTTCACACCGAGAGTCAGGCATTTGACAGCAGAAACTTTTTTTGAGACAGGAATAGGTCTCTAATTGTATGCTTTGACTATAAAATAGCTAACTGTTTGGAAGCTGTATTTTAGGTACTCTTTGCTCGAAATAGACATTTTCATGGCTCTAGGATACAAACCAACCAATTTAAATAAGATCCTGAAGCTGTAGTTTGCTGTCAAAGGGAAGAGAGTTGAAGCTCGGAAGACATGATTTAGCAATGTTTTTACTATGTCAGTGTTTATGGGGTAGAAGTCTCTATAAAGAGACTTCACAACATACAGCAGCTGACCTCTTGCCTTATTGATGTTTCTATAATTTCATCTTTTAATTAAAATGAATAAAATAATCACCGTTTGGCTCTCCCTTCTGAGCTTTTAAGAAACGGTATTCCGTTCTAGAGGCTACTGCATTTTGAGGGTTGGTTAATGCTCTCTTGACATTTGAACAATCTTTTTGGGGGGATTATCTCTTTACAAGCCTATACGGAAGTGACCAATAACCTTGCCAAAAGAGAAAGGAGGAGAATAAACTGATGGGCCAGTTGAAATCCCTTACAGGAATGTTTTTTAAATGCTCTGTTATACTTTATTCCTGGAGTCTGAAAGGTACTTTTCTTCCTCCTAAGACTAAGCAATACCAGTGTATGTAAACAGACGAGTAAGATTGCTTATCAAGATCTCTTTAAACTTTTCACAACCCAAACAATTGGTGCACATTTAAAAACTGAGGTGTAGGATTATGAGAAAACCTAGGTTGTAAAACCTTAAGAAGCACTCTGAAACAGGCTTGTAGTCCTTGTCAGCCAGTCTTAAAATTGGGGTAGGGTTTTGGAAGAACTTTGACAAATCTTGGTACGCACCAAAAGCTTTTGCCTTTACAATGGAGGTGGGCTTTTCTGGCATGCTGTTCATGAAAACAGAATGCTCATGGAATTCTTTGAAGGATGGGAACAGCCATCCTTCTTTCTGCTACATCCATGTTTTGCTGCAGTATGCTGACCTTTGAAAAAGAATTCTTTCCTATAACAGCTCTTTTTACATCTTGCTTTTACTTAAACAGAACAGAGGGTAATCTGAACAGTAAGAAATATGAAGCTAAGTTTAAAAAAAAAGGGTTTAATTTTACAGTTAAGTAAACTTCAACCAGGCTTACTTGTATATCTTGCACTACTAATGCCTTTTGTTGTTGAAAAGAACAGGCTTATTTTTAGCTTGAAAAGTCTATGAATCGTTTTGTTAGGTGAGTTATGAAAAAGTAGAAAAGAAGGATTTTGGTACTGTTCTTATCTTTTTCTGAATTATAGTAACACTGCCAAAAGAGACTGTGCAGATATGCTGGTAAGTGAGGGCTGTTTAATATCATGGAAGACCTGTCATTGAAGTCTTGTTTTGGTTTAGATTCTGATGGAGCTGTACATCACCAGTGCAACTGATCAGATTTACTAAAACAAAGATCTTAAGATCTGCACGTATGCAGTTGGCATTATTAAAAACCTCTCTGCTTGCATCTACATGGTGAAAAGGAAAAATGCGTGTCTGTGGCAGAATTTAGCTGTTACTTTACATAAATTTACAACAGAAATGCAGTGTGCTTCTAGTATTGTACAGTAACTGAGAAATGTAAATTAACTGTTTTCCTTCTGTATCTGGAGAACATACCTATTGCACATCTCACTCTTTAACATTTGCTCTTTGTAGGGCCTATAGGTACTTAGCAATGTAGAAAAATGAATTCAAAGCAAATTCTTAACTTTGGAAAAGGTGAAGTTGTTTCAGTTCTTGCTTTCTCTAGGAGTTAGGGGTTTATTGCATGTTCCTGAGCTCTTCCACTTGTCTCCTCCCCCTTGGAAACAAATTGCCTTAATTACAAAATAGCATGCTTCTCCCATAGTAACTCATTTGTGCTTCTGCCATTCTAATGAACAGAATGAGTGTGTAGTATAATGACATGAATTCTATTATTCACATTTTATTCAGACTACTGTGTAGTATGTGCTATTTGATTTAGTAGATGAGGGGGCATTTAAGAATGAAACTATCAACTCTTAAATGTACTTAAACATCAAAATAGACTTTCACTTTGGGAAGGCAAATGGCAGCAAGTAATGCTATTATGCATTACGTCTTTAACATAATCCTAAATCCTCTCTAAATCTCTTATTCTACTCTATTAAAATAAAAGAATGGACTCTTCAGTCTTTGCCTTGAATGATGCCAGTATTGTTGACTGGCATTAAAGACTGTGGCTCCTAGTAAAGATCTGTGTAGTATAAGAACTTGTGCATCGGGACTGCATTTTTGATAGGATGATATATTGACTGGATTTGAGGACTATAGTATTCCACAATCATAGAATTATAGAATCATTTAGGTTGGAAGAGATCTTTAAGATCATGGAGTCCAACCATAAACCTAACACTGCCAAAATGGAAAGCTTCCCAAAACAATTAAATTTGCTGTCAGTTTGAGCTATTCTTCTCCTTCAGTATTTGCTATGTGATAAAACAAACAGCTTGGTGTTTGACTGGGAGTTATTCTGTCCATGGGTAAACAATGTACAACCTCTGTTTAAAAATGGGAAAAACTTAAGCAAGCATGCCTTAATGTTTCCTTGTCCAAATACTTTAAACCCCAGCTCTAGAATAGGCTGTGCTTCTTAACAAGTGGTGTTACAATGAAAAAGCTATGTGAGGATAAACTCTTAGGGATAGATCACTATGCCATGCGGCTCCTAGTCATACATCTTTTGAAACTGGGAAGAACTCCTGCACAGTGTGACTTGTTTTAAATATTTTTTGTGGCAATTATTCTAAGAATCTGACCTTAAGGTAGGAAACAATGCACTGTAGCTGTAAAGAATGTGTAAAGAATACCACAGCTGTTGTTTTGCCAGAATTGGACATCTACAACTTAATAGACAAATGTTCCTACTCACTTGTCCTTGTAAGTCTGAATTTGGTCTTTGGCTTATGTATGTAAGATGGAGTAATCATTTTAGACAGGCTGCCAAGCTGAAGGTTAGCACAAAACAATCTTTGGAACAGTGTTCTATCTATTACAATGACTAGCTGATAAGATAATTGGGAAAGGGCAGGAAAGAGGCAAGATAACATGTTAAAACAAGGGCATCTTAATCAAATGAAAATGGAATGTGTTTTCTCATCTAGCTACAGCTACTGATGATGCAATACATGTCTCTTGTATATTAGTTGTCTTGAGGTGAATCTAAGTTTTTCTTGACTTTTCTTCTGTCTCTCCCCCATTAGCGATGCTAGTTCTATGTGAAAACTAACAAGATTGTATTGCACGCAAGCAGGAGACAACCTGGTCATGGTCCAGGTGATGCGAATGAGGTGGAAAATTACAGATTTTTGGAAATCTGTTGGATTCTTAATGTGTAACACCCTGCACAGCTTAACTAAAATTTTAGCAATAACACCAAGATTTAGTTCTTTGTCACATTATGTTAGCTTTTAAATTACACTTCTTTAAACGTAGTAATACGGAATATCTAGCCCTACTGATGCTGTTGAACAAATATCAAGCTTCCCTCTAGAAAGGAACTGAGTGTTCAGATGACTTATTTCATAATTTGAAACAACTACAGTCACTGCACCCTGGAGGTGATTGAAGATGACTGAAGTGAAATTGAGATTAAGTGCCTGAGAACAAATAACATCTAAAATGATGTTTTGGAGCACATAAAACAATTCTCGTCTCCTAGGTTTATGAGCTTGAAAAGCAGGATAGCTACACTACTTTATCAGTTTTATATCTTTTAATATTATTGTTTCACCTTAAAAAACATCTGAAACTCTCATTTAGCACTTTGATCCTGTATGACCTGGTGAAGGGGTAATGGGGAAGAACAGCAAAGAAAGAATGCGGTCAGCTTTGGCCTGGGTCTAGCCTGATGAACACTTCAGGGTTTTTTTATGCTTATTCCTCTAAAATATGAGTGCTGTAAGCATGGTGAAGTGTAGCTAACAGACACCTTGGGTAGAGATCCTGGTGCAGTACTAGGCAGATAGTGGGAAGTGAAGATAGCTGAATGTGTTTGACCTGTGGCTGGAGGAACTAAGGAAGCTTCATGAAATAAGCGTATGTTCTAGGTTTCAGTACTGACTTAGACTTGCATTATAGATGGTATATGAACGTTCTACTTAAGTATAAGCTAACTTTCTTTTTGGGTACTGGAAATAACTTAGAGCAGTTATAATAGCAATAAGAAAACACCTCAAGTGTTTGATTAAAATGCTTTAAAATTAGATTATTTGCTCTCTAACTTATGTGCAACCATGATTTCTTGTTTAGATCTTCACCTTGCTGCTGAGCTTGGGAAGACACTACTGGACCGTAACACTGAACTAGAAGAATCTTTACAGCAAATGTATGCGACAAATCAAGAGCAACTGCAGGAGATAGAGGTAAATATTTAAGGGATCCAAGTGTTAAAGCTTCTAGACCCACAACATAATAGCACATAAGTTAAGAATCTGAATTTCTTGACATCTGATGAACACTTTAAAGAAAAATACTGAACAATCTTTAACCAGTTCTGCCACTTTGAGAATTTGAGAACTTGTATAGGCTAGACCATAGTTAGAACTGTTCGTCTGACTACTGGAAGCTTTATGCCATTAAACTTCATGTTGGATTTGGCTTGTTTAATGACAAATGACTGGTATTCTTCTTTTTGTACAGAAAAATTACTTCAATTATTTTATTGCTAAACTTTGCTGATCCTGCCAGGTAAAATTACATTAAAATACATGATAAATAAATGAATAATTTAAATTATTACATGAAAATGTTAGTGGTTACCACACTGAAATTTAAATGCTGATAAGTACAGGAGAGAGATTTAGGTCTAAGGATATCTATTTCCACTAAACTAAGCTGTGGTAAAGGGAGCTAAAGTCTACTTCAATTAAAAAAAAAAAAAAAAAAGAAGAAATAAACCAAAACCCATCCAAACAAAAACAACAATAAAAATCCCACCAGCAAAACCAAACACTTAAACAGTATCTAAATACAAGGTATAGTGGATATATTGTTCTGTATTTTTGGGGATGGGGTGTGGAAAATATCATAACCACCCTTTCAAAACCACTCATCTTTGTATTACTTGGTGGAAAAACCTGGCCATTTTTGGCCTTTTTTTTTTTTTTTTTAATATTGCTGTGTTCTTGCAGACCTAGCATTTGTCAGAATAATGTTTTTTTTTTTTTTTTAAGCTATTAGAGGGCAATGCATGTCTAATTAAATTATTAAATATTCAGTACTTTGCTGACTGACTACATATTGGAAACGTAGTCAGCATTTCAGTTTGGTTCTGGTACGAATCACAGGGAACAGGCTGTGACTGGTATACACTAGATTTTTACAAAAACTGAGTTACTTTATGCAAGCAGTACTTAAGCAATTACGGACAGTGTGTGGATTTTGTACAGCTGCAGCTTAAGGCTTAAAACACTTACCATTGTAGTAGTAACAGGTCACTTGAAGAATCCTAAGCTTAGTACTTGTAGATATCTAGATGTCTTTAGGCACGTTAACACAAATGCAGTATTTTTATTAGGGGGTGCACAATTTCTGGGTGCAGGTTTTTTTAAGATACTTCTGTTTTATATTTGGGCTCTTTTCTCTATTATGTGCTAAACGTCATCTTTGTTATCCTATTCATTCTACAATACAATGGTTGGAATGGCTGATATTTGTATTAGTGCCACAGTACTACAAAAAATGTATTTATTTATGCAGAGACTTAAAATAACTCATTGTCATGAATGGTTTTTATAAAAAGATTAATTCGTAAGATCTAGAAAGGACAAACACTTCAAGGCGCTACACAAATACTGTTCTACTTAAGGTTCAACGCCTGTATGAACAACCGTGTTTAAGGAAGTGTTTAACACAGTTACAACACACCTTTTGAAATAACACAGCATAACTTCCAATAGATACCTAACCTGGCTCATTGAGTGTTGCGACTTAATAAGCAGCTGTACTTTAACGCTATCTTGAAATACAGAAAATATATGATTGCTAAGCTGTATCCATTTATAGAAACAGTCTAGTGCCATTAAGGATGTAATATCCTGTTGCTTTAAGCCTGTTGCTTTATTTGCTTAAGTTTTTTTGGTGGGTTACTGTTTGTTGACTACATAAGAGAGCTTTAGCACCAGGAAGTGGTCGGAAGTGTCCTTCCAGCAGTGATCTATAGTTGGTGTGTTGCAGGGTCAAGTACTTGTATGTTCAGACAACCTCAGATGGTGACAGACTTACTGTCCCGCTATCTTGCTTGGCTACACCAATCAAAAAAACAAATCAAGACTTGTGCAATACTGCTTTTTGAAGGCTTTATCTGAAACCTATTTCTTCTCTTTCCTCCTCGCCCCCAGCATGGGTAGGGGTGTATATTGGGTTGTCCTATTAGCTCCCTCCAAGAGGGTGAGAGAACCGTTTTCGTCATGCTTCTGACCTATAAATAGTGCCTGCGCCTTTATTTGTCCAACTTGCTGTGTTCCTATCTGCCGTATTAACATTCTATCTTCTCTGTTCTACCACCTGTCTTAATCTTGTCTTTTCCCAATGCAGTTTAAAAGCATATTAGCAACTCAAGACATTTCTTTCTCCAAAGAAATCTCTCTCGTATCTGGATTTCTGGTAGAAAAGAGAAAATCAAATGAACACCTTCTTCAAATACCCAGAGAAAACCTCAAGATGGAGGAACTGAATATATTAACTTACTGGCATAAGGGATTGTTACAGGAATTCACTGAAACAGAGGAGAATAAAGTTAGCATATGCAAGGTGCAGTATTTCTTAACTGGTAAAAGCAGTTCAGTCAGTTATTTTCATACCTATATTTCTGTGTGGGAACGCAGGATATCCCGTTGTACACGATAGATGTGCAAGTGGCATATCCAGTCTCTATGCTCGATTCTTCCCAACTTTCAACTGCTTGTTTCTGTAACCTAAAGGTGATCTTTCAGCTGTTCCTGTAGCTACTCTGCTGTGTTTTTGACTAGTTTTTTCAGTACAGTATATCAGTGTAAATCTTTGGTGTGTTTTTTTCCTGTCAATTCACATCTTATGGGTAGTGAAGTCTTTAACTGGCTAAGAAATTCTGAATGGCACTACCTTGTCTGCTCTGAAAAGGAAGGGTCAAAGGCTTTGGGATGCTTAAGATTACATCTAATATATTAAACGCTAACATATTAAGTGTTTTACAGCCTCGGATCACTATATCTGACCTCTGTGCTGACACGTGTGCTACTAACTAATCATTGTAGATGTAATAAATGCTGGATTGAAAGGGCAGCTTTATTCCCGTCTGAGTCGGTTCTCAACATTCAGACTTCAGAAATACTGACACTCCTTTTATCATGCAGTAGAATGCAAGAAGTCTCAACTGCTGCTTCATGTTAGGTGCTCGGTTGCATGGGAGGTAGAATAAATGTGAACTTCTAAAGTATTTGTTACCACATCTATACTTTGCTTTGATGGCCTGGTCATACCAGGCCAACTTGACGCCAGCACTGGAGATGCGAGGTGGAGAAAATGGTGCTTCACCTCTTCTATTCATCTATAACTTCTGCAAGAGCCCATTCTAATAAGCGGTAACATCTAATTCTGGCACCAAAGCCTTGGTTTCTGCTTAGCCACACTTGTGCTGCTGAAGAAAATCTGAAGATCTCCAGCTCCTTCTGAGAATAACCAATAGGGAAAGTTTATCTGAAATGGGTCACATTGAGATTCTGCTGCTAATCCATGTACTATTTTTGTGTAAATCCTCTGTCATGTGCGCACAGGCTATGAAAGGATCTAGCCAACTGCTATCGTGTTGATCTTCTAGAGGTCTGTATGTAGCAGTTACTAGTCCTAGATTAACTTATTATCAGTTCTTAAATTGCCTAAAATGTAAACCCATCAATCTTTTTAATGAGGTAAAAGGTTAAGTAGAATATTAGAAGTTTTCAGTATGTAACAGGCCAATGTAAAGAGAACTAATTAGGCCTAGAAGTCTGCTGGATGTTCCTATGTAAAGTTTACTTTTCAGTAAGTAGCATGTAGTAATACAGAATATATTGCAAGAAATGAATTCTACGTAAGAACAAAATAGTTCTGACTTGAAGGGTTAAGTTTTTTTTTCACGTCTGTCTTAGGTGGGACAACATAAGACACTTGTATTTAACTGCTCTTAGACTGAGAATTCCAAGCTTTTTGATACGATTCAAGAAAGTTAACAGTCTATGTTGTTAATTGTGAAACTAAAAAGGATTAAAATGAGAGTACTTCATGTAGAGTGTTTTGTTTTTTTTTTTTAAAAAGGCAGGAGACCTTTGCTTGTCATTACAGTAACTACAATAGCTCCCTGTGGGTAACTACAGATTGAATTCAGTAATTTGATTATACTCCCTGACGCACAGTAGCCTACATACTGTCTTAAGTGTGACCACAACCTAAATTCTATTCTGCTGAACATAGTGTTGCTTCAGACTGGAAGACCTTAGGTCAGCTGAAAAGAAATTTAGTTATGGATGGTGCTACCCAATATTTGAGTTTTAATGCTAGGAAGATTGCTGGGTCAACACTGTTAGAAAATTTCTGGTGGAGCCCAATGCAATTTTTAAAGGGACTCAGTGGATAGTTAAGGGTTATGTTGAAGTCTGGATTCATGGCTGTATTAGTGACGGCTGCAGTACAGACAAACCCAATGCAGAAGGATGAGGTACTGGCAAAAGCCTAGCTGCGGCAAGGATAGATGGACATAGCTTGCACAACCATACCCAACTCCTCTGGATAAAAGGCCAGTTGATCAGCCTAGGTTGACCTCCCTGACAAAGGCAAGCTGGCTAGCTCAGTTACTGATGGCGCCATTTCAGCTGAACACTTACCAAAGCAGCCACTGGAACCTACATGTCTGAAACGTAGTAGTTCCTCTATGAATGTGAGTAAAAATGCAGAGTAGGAGTCCTGTCTCTGTGCTTCAAGTATAAACTAGTAACAACAATACTGTCTTGCAGTACCTCACAAAGCAAGTGGAGCTCTTGCGTCAGATGAATGATCAGCATGCAAAAGTCTACGAACAGCTGGATGTGACAGCAAGGGAACTAGAAGACACTAATCAAAAGCTAGTTGCAGAGAGTAGAGCTTCACAACAAAAGATATTAAGGTAACAAACTTATACTAGATCCCCTCCTACCCCAGTTGATAATATGAAAGAGCGCAGTCCAAGTGTATTTGTACAGTTATTGGGTGGCTGTCTCTGTCTAGTGTTGTTCTACAATACTGTTAAATTGAAAGGATAGTTTTATTTAAAGGTCTTCTGGGGCCAAAGAGCAGCCTTCAGAGAAGAAGCTACAATATGAGGGGATGGGAAATTACCATGTCATTGACTAAACACTCAAATGTTTTAACAGCAGTCCTTCACCTTTTAGCTTGACAGACACTATTGAAAATCTACAAACACACATAGATGACCTGCAACGACAAGTAGAAGAATTGAAAAAGTCTGGACGAGGCCGGATGAGCCATGAAAGATCTGACCAGCCAAGATCAATGCATAGCTTCTCCTGTTTGAAGGAGCTGTATGACCTTCGCCAGTAAGACTTTTTACCTTGCATAGCAAAGAGAATACTGAAGTTATTTTAAGCAGAGCTTTAAAAACTAAGACACATGCACAGCTGTCAAACAAGCAAACAGAAAAACATCTAATGTTCACAACTAGCAAATATCTGCACAGTCCTGCACTGTGTGGTGTTGCCACTGCTTCTAGCATACTTCTAGCCTGCATTAGTCTTTGTGCAAGAAGAACTGCAGGTTCCACTTTCTGCCTTGAAAGGTTTTCTCCCAAAGCCTCCATCCACATCAGATTGTAGCCTAATCAAATTGTAGCCTAGAAAGTTTGCAGTGATTTGCAGCCTGCTTTTTTCAGTCAGATAAAAGCACACACACAGAGATAATCTGAAAAACAAGCATCCTAAATGCAAAATATTTTCTGTGACTTACCCACAGACATCCAAGGAAAGGGTATCTTCTTTTTAAGGGAGGCAGGATTCCTGCAAAAGCTTTCCTGATCTTAAGCTGGTTAAAACTATGCTTAAGCTGGTAAAATAGTGCCTGGAGCTCTGGGCTGCTTTTTAAATGTAGAGCAGTTTTACCCAGCTGAACTGCATTAGTATGCCTATCAGGACAATCACCTGGGGTAAAAGCTCAAACTAGCTTCAGTCCTAGAAGGTAATTTCACAAGTGAAGCACCTCCCCAGACAGGCAGAACAGGCTTTTGTGTCTGGGCTTCAGCACTACATGGAGGTAGGACTGTAGAATAAATCCATACACCCAAAAAGAAGTTATTTCTTGACAATTCAAAAGATAGGTGGATTCCTTCAAGCTGCCAAAGGCTTGTGGAAATACCAGCCTACAGCATTGCCTTGTCAATTTTGAAGCTTGTAACTTTCCACAATCAATAGTGACAGAACTTACAAGAGTGGAGTGCTACAGAAAAAACCCATGTCAGAAAGTATTGCATGATACATGGAGGCAATGTTTGTTTAAACTTAAGTTACAGGTCTAGTTATTGAATAAGCTTGTCTGTAACTTGGAACTTAACGAGCTGCGATTCTGCTTGAGCTGGGAGGCTTCATTTAATGGCACTTAAGAATTTATGAACTCTTTTCTGGTTATTAAAGGGACTGATAGGTTAGTAAAGTGACCGCTATGTATGCTTTGAGGTGTGTCAGCACACAGTTGAAATCGGTCATTCTTTACCCAGGACAGGAAAACTTTAGGAGGTGTGGTCAGCTGTACTTCTGACATTCAATAATACTTTTGTTTCTGCAGGTATTTTGTTTATGATCATGTGTTTGCAGAAAAGATTACTTCGATGGATAGTCAGCTAAGTCCTCTAGAAGAAGAAAATGAGAACTTAAAAAAGGCAGTTACAGTTCTGCAAGCCCAACTTAACCTAGAAAAAGAGAAGAGGGTAACAATGGAAGAGGAATATAGTCTTATGGTAAAAGAAAACTGTGACCTTGAACAGAGGCTTGTTGATGTAGACTTGTATCGGGCTCGTGCAGAGGAGTTGGAAGTGGAAGTAGCTGAAATGCGACAAATACTACAGTCTGAAAACACATTCCATAATGCAGAGAAATTGGTGCCAGAATCCTTTTTCATTTCATTCAAGGAGTCTTTAGAAAGGGAGCTTGGTCAGAGCCCAGCAGATGATGGACTTCCGACTGTATCAGAGCTTGAGAAGAAGGCACTGAAACGGAGCAGCAGTGAAACCTTCCTAAGCAGTGCTGCAGGGGGAGACATTCTAAGGGGCCATGAAGAAACATGTATCAGGAGAGCTGAAGCTGTGAAGCAGCGAGGCATCTCTGTACTTAATGAAGTTGATGCTCAGTATAATGCTTTGAAAGTGAAGTATGAGGAACTTTTGAAGAAGTGTCAAATGGATGAAGATTCTTTGAAACACAAGGCTGTACAAACACTGAAGCAGTATTCCAAAGACCTAAATGTGGGGAATACCCAGTATGATCTTTCAGCTAGCAATCAAGAATTCACAAATGTGGAGCTAAGTGACTCTCCCACAAATGCTCTTCCTGAATATAAAGCGCTCTTCAAGGAAATTTTTAGCTGTATCAGAAAAACAAAGGAAGAAATAGATGAACACAGAGCTAAGTACAAGTCCCTCTCTTCTCAGCCGTAACATTGAACATGCTGATGACCCATTTTCTGTCGATGACTAATCTGTTAGTCAAGAAGGGGAAAAACATTATACAAATGTCAGAAGACCCCTTATACTGATGTGTTTCTTGAGCACTCAGAATGAATGTTTTGAATTGGCTTGTAGACCTGTAGTTAACAAGCTAGTTAGTTAACAGCTAGTTTCCCTGTACCTATGTAGCAATAGATTTAATGTCGTTTAGTGCTGTCACACAAACTCATGGTTGTAAAGCAAACAAACATCATAGCTTAGTACTACACTACTACTTCACACTACACTTCATCTCTGGCCAGAGCAGTAACTGACACTAGTTTCCCTAGTACAGTCCAAAAATAACAGGGCTAAGAAATGTGTTGTGTTTCTCACAGGGAACCAGACTAAAGCATTCCTCTGGTTCACAGGTGATTTATCTAGCCCTGTAACTGCATCTGTGTAGAAAATGAACAAAACCAAAGCCCCTGATCGGTGTCACGGGCAGCCTCTCCTTGATTCTTGAGAATGAAGTTAGCAGTCTAGCTGAGCTTGCTTTGGCAAGGAGGAAGAGCTGGCACAGCAGCCTGCACTGTGCTTGGTTTAAGCTAATACCATGTTTTCACATGCACTAAGCTCTCCCACAGATTAGTATAAATGTCTTCCTACTAAGAAAGGATTTGATGTAACGTTTCTGTGGCGCTTTAGGTATGGTTTCTTATGTAGGGCACTTTGTCTTAAGGCAAGATACTGTGAACTGATTATGTATGTTATTCGAGACCTACTGTTCTTTGGTGGAATGTCTGCAAAGTACATTTTTATGTGTATTATTTGGTAAGATAGGAAGTTGCAATTTAGTAGTAGCATTGACATAATGGAATAGCTTTTAATCTTACATACCACAAACTCCAAGTGTTTGAGGGAGATGGGACAGGTAAAACCTTATCATATTGTTTTGTCTATTGCTTCCAGTGTCAGTTTCTGTGGACCTATTCCATGCTGCCTGCGGGGTGGGAGGATGGCCAGAACATATCCTACTGAAAATGGGGGACCATGCTGTTGTTCTTCCCCTCTTTCTCCACTCCATAATTCATATGTATTCAAATTCTGGGGGAAAAAAAAAAAAAAGGACATAGAGAAGTATGTTCTTTAAAACTGCTTCAAAGTGTGGAGAAAACAAAGGTTTTGAGGGCTGGGGGAAAAGGCACAATGAAAGGTGACATCCTTCTCCTTATAAAGGGCCTCATAGCTTGATTTAGTCAGCTGTTCTGGGAATCGACTTACTGCCTGTCTGAGCTGCTGCAATATGTTGTCAGGGTGTTGACAATTTCTCAGCTTTAGTTCAACTGCTGCTGTTGCGGTTTTGTCTGCCTTATGTTGTACCCTGTTCAGCTTATGTACAGCTGTCCTTCAGTGGCAGTATTAAGACTTCATATTTTGAGAGTTTCTCTAAAACATGTACTGCTTTCTGAAAGTCATTTAAAAATGTGAATCTCAATCTTGTGAATATTTTTCTAAGCAAATAAATAATCCAGTCGAGCTACATGCGTAACTAATAATTATGCCTATCTGTGCCAACCAGGAAACAGTAAACTCAGTGCAGATGGCACCTGCATTATCTAGTCTTGCCATCTTTCCTGCATTGCTCAGATGGAGTTCCCATTAAATTTGTATTTTGAAAAGGTTACACTAAATGGAAAAGGATAGGCCTGTCTGGGATAGAAATGCAGAGGGAACGTTGTAGTTTCTCCTCATTGTTGTGTTTGTCCATGCTGTACAAAAAGGAGGGGAAGGGGGGTGGCGTGGAAGGAAAGTGTTGTTCTGCCATCAGGTTAACTGTATGGTCACTGTTTCCCTCCTGCTTGGATCCTCATCACCTGGAGATCTGGCCCACTTCAGATACTGGAAAGCAGTAGCCTTAAATGAGAAAGACGTGACATTGTTGGTCACAAATGATTTGCTACTAATATTCCTCACCACTTCAGGGGAAGGGGGAGCCACACCGGCCGGACCAAAAGTTATATAAAAGCAATTCAGATTTTTTGGTTAAATAGGTGATCTTCAGTGGTTTATTACTGTTGGCTAATTTAGAACACTTTCATATATACAATTTTTATGCTATAAAAATAAAGTGTTCCCAGATTTCTACAGCAACACTTGATTTTTCTGTAGTGTAACTTCCCCTTGGCTACCTGTGCCATGGCTAAGCTCTGGCTGTATCATACTTTAACGCTTAACCACTTAACTGTACATGTTGTGCAATAAAACCCTCCAAGGCTGGGTTCTTCTTTCACAGCTTCTCTCAGACTCTGGCTTTCCTGGAGAGAAACTTTACAGATGCAGCCATAGGTAATGCTATGGCAGCAGGGCTGTATGAGGGAGTGTCAGCCATGGGTGCATGCAGCAGGCCCAGGCAAAGGCTGCAAAAGCTGCCTGAACTTACTTAAAACGCCTCCCAATAATAGTGACATAGTTAAACTCTTAACTAAGGTAGAGTTTAGCAGTTTAAAAATAGATATTTTCCACAGAAATGTGAAATGCCATAAGCATGGTAACAATATTCTTAGCCAATCTCATCTGGATTAACTACCTTAATCTGCTTATTTCAGTCAACAACTCAGCCTTCCTGAGCATAAGCAGATGAAATTAATAGAATCTCCTTGAGCTTCTCATGTGATGAAAATTATAGCAAAGAACACGAACAGTGAAGTAACAATGTTCTACAATGCTTACAGTAGGATGTTCCTTATCTTACTGCAGTCACGCTTCAATGATAAACCTGTAACGAAACGATCGGTTACTGCATCTTTTGCAACAGGCCCTTAGCTTGACAGCTACCTCTGGCTACCCCCTAAAGAACATAATGCAAGCAGGATGATGTAAAGCAGTTTACTATCTACCTCTAACCTCTGCTAAAACATTCCCGACCTCTCCTTCCTCCCTAAGCCTTCAGGCTATAAAAGGAGCAGGTGCAGCTTCCATTTCTTCTTGGACAAATACAAGACAGGGTAGAACTGACCTTCAAGATAAAATTTTATTTAAAAAAGTTACACAAAATAGAGGTTTTACATTGTTGCCATGTGATAATTACAGCTGGATACCATCCAGAGGGTGCACTCAGTTACTTACCTTGCTGTACTTGCATACACTAATGCAAAAAATCCCTCAAGACCTACACCAATAAAAGAAATCCAGTAGTTGTTCCACATCTGTTTCAAACGCAGGTACTTTTCCCAAATAACTCATTTCACAGACAACAGGAGAGAACAATTGCTATGTAGTACAAAGAAAGACACTGATTTTGCTCCCCCTCTCCCAGGCCTGACATTTCCATGAACATGACTACCTTCCCTTTATAAAAAGAGGGCTGCAAGGGCTATTGCAATGCTCAGGCTAAAGTATGAGCATCTAGGTATTTAACAAAAACTGGGATGTTTGTAAACAAATTTAATTTATTGGCATTACTTACAAAATAAAGTATTAGACCATGATGTTCCATCATGTCTGTGTCGGTATATGGTTTTATTTTTTGATAACGAAACAGAACGAGAATTGAAATACATCAGAAATCCCAGATTAATCACGCTGCAGACAGGGTTGTCTTCCTAGTTGCTCTTGTGCCTGGGTGGCCATGCAAACACGTGTGTGGGTATGTGGGATGTCAGTAACTGTCTGCAATGCCCACATGCCCCAAAGTGGGTCAGATCCTGCCCCACACTCCCGAGGCCACGGCATTACTCTGTCTGTGCCGCCCGCTGCAGGATTCCTCTTTCGTCCTGGAGATCACTCGTGACCACGACCACTCCTGTCACGATTGCACAGTCCCCTTAAGATACCACATTCCGCCATAGCTCACACAGCAGTCCTGGGGAGACAGGGAAAGTCCGTAAGGTCTTGGGAACCACTGTCTGGCTTTGGGACAATAAATGTGATCAGTAACAAAAGCCTCCTCTCCAGTGCACAAGAGAGCGCACGAATCCAGAGCAGCAGATTATCTCCAACCTGAAGACCATACAGCTTAAATGAAGATGACAAACAAAAGTGGGGGAAGGTTGAGAGGCCACAAGGAGGATAAACAATGCGATGGCAGCAAGAAACCAGGCTTTTTGGGGTCGAAGATGGGGATTGTGCAGAGGCCAGCTTAGGAGAGGTTGCGGGGAGGGGTGAAGACAAGAGGAACTCGCAGGTAAACATGGGCTGAAACTCAGGTGAGACTGAAGGGAGTAGCAGGAACGGGCTGGGGTGTGAAGGCAGGGTCCAGATCTGAAGCTTTTTAAGAAACGATGTTTTATAATAAACTGTCAAACCTCATAACCATGCTTTGGTATTCTGAACACACGCCTGCTAAGCTTACAGTGGGTAAGCACACAGCAAAGGAGTTCAGTAAGCTGGTTTTCTTGTGGTTCATTTTCTTATTTCTATTAGATGAGCACCAAGTCTCTTGAGTTCTAAGCTAACGGCTTCTCTTTCTTTTGCTCCCACCCTCCCACTTAGGTAATTCAACACAAGCTTAAGTACCACCACAGAATGGATGCTGTGGAGCTTAAAGGGAAAAAAAAACCACCCCTTTTTTTCTGAAGCCTTGGGACTTGCACATTGCAAAAACAAGAAATTAAATGTGGAGGCTAGGAAGAGGGTTTGCAGACTTGATCTGCAGATGCAAAAATACAAACTCTGTCAGTTTGTTCCGCTGTGTATCAAAAAAGAACACACGCAGATGGGGAAATCGGAGTCAAAAAATCCAATTTCACTCAAAGAGGAATCCAATCTCTTGTGGTTTAAAGAAGCCAGAAAATCCTCCTAGTTCATTAAATTGTGCTTCTAAATTTTATTTCAGAAACAAAGATAATTTCACTTACTTCTGTGACAAATGTATTCAAGGCAAAGAAGCCTGACACAACACAAGGCTGGTCACATGAAGACACTTACAGTCACTTATACTGACTTAGAGAAAAAGAGTCCCCGTTTTTTTAGGGCAAGGTATTTTTTCCAGAAATAGGTTATCTGTTAAATAGCAACAGCATCATGAAAAACTAGTATCAGGACATAGTCCAGATGTTCCAGGAGAGCTGATATTTGAGCTCATCTAGTCACTCGACAATCTCCCAGCAGAGGCAAGCCACATGAATACTGTCTAGCAGGCAGAAACATCTGAGCTTATTTTAAAACTAAGACAAACAGGTTCTTTCAAGCAAGACCAGTTTGCTTATTATCACAGCAACAGATCTGTAATTTTTCATATATGCTATTA